GATCTTCACTATAATGAAACATAGTTGAGTTTTAATTTTCTTACGATGTGGTTCTTACCCTCGAAATACTAGAGTAAAAAGTGTAAAATGCCAAAGTAAAAAAGAACTCAGACATGTCTATCTGGCTCTCACATCACAGTATAATTACCCTGCGTAGTTCACACCCTTCCTCTTCACTAAGCATGGCACGGGCGTGGCTATGTCATGACGCGGTGAGTGCCCTGCTCGGAAATGCTGATGAACATATACTAGACTTCGTCTTTAAAAAAAGGAACATTTTCCATGAGCCAAACACTCGAAGCTGTGCCGTCATCCAAGAGTGAGCTAGACGTGGCCTGTCCCTTGCCGAGTTTACCGCTACCCGACGACAGCCCGTGTGACCATCCGTCGTGGGGGCTGAGCTGTTGGGGGCAGCACCGCGGGCACTTACGGGGTCAGAAGAGGGTTTCCAGGGGAGAGCGAGTGAGGACCTGAAGGGTGAGTTAAGTCTGGGCAGGTGAAGGGGGTGGGAGAACTCAGAGGGAGGCATGGTGTGGAAAGAGATTGCGTTTGGGAAGGACACGGGAAGGATGCAGAGACTCGCCTCGGCCTTCATGCTGGGGCTCCTGCAGGGCTGGCGTTTTTGGTGGCACTTCTGAAGGAATCAAGGCTTAAAGATTTGCGTTAAAAAGAAAATACTGGACCATTCTCGTGGCCTGGTGGGCAGGTAGCCGAAACCCACATGGCTGATTGCATTTTGAATCCTGGTGGCTTGAGAAACATAGGTGTGCATGTGTGTGTGTGCGCATGTGCGTGTGCATGTGTGTGTGTGCATGCCCCACATCCCAACAGGCTGGAGAAACGGAGTGCAGCATGGCTGTGCCCCTCGAGAAGGGTGCTGTCTCCCTCCCCGTCTCTGGTGAGTGCACATGCTCTCTGGCCTGTAACCCAGAAAGTAAGTAAATAAACTAAGGCAAGTTTTAGAAAATACCCACGTTCACTTGCTCCCTTCAGAAAGCTGTAAAGGGACCCTGGGTCTGGCTGCATTCTCCCTGCAGGCCCTCTGGCCCAGCCCTGTGCGTGAGCCCCGTGTGTGGGCCCTATGCGTGGCTTTGTTGCCTCTGTGTGGCCAGTGGTGCCCATCCCACCAGCCTGTCCCTGCCAGTTTGACTCCTCAGGAAGTCCCTGGGGTCTAGCAGAGCCGGGTTGTCCGCTGGCCAGATTCCGGCGCCCTGGGAAGGACCTGCCCAAGCCACTGCAGGAAGGAGGGGCAGGAACCTTCTGGAAGGCCCCTGCCGTGCCGTGCAGGTGGCTGCTCTAACAAGTGACCACCAGCAGTGACTTAACGTGGCACCAATGTAGCACCCGTGGGTTGGGAGTGCGTCTTACTCTGTTATTGTTGCTCCATAGAAACACCTAGGGGGATGCAGGTGGCATAATTGCTAGACTCAAACGAAGTCAACTGCAGTTCGAGTCCTGGACCCAGTGGCTTAAAACTCATGCCAGGCATGTGTGTGTGTCTGTGTGCCCAAGATCCTAGGAGGAGATGGGACCGCAACGTGGCCATCCCCACTGGGGAGTGATCTCTCACTTTCTCTTTCGCTGTCTCTCCAGCAAGTGCACATGCCCTATAGCAAAAATCTCTATCTTAAAAAAAGAAATACCTGGGGACGAATGGTCTACAGAGAGGGCTTGTGTCGGGATAGGACACTGGTGGTGGGTGACGGAGAACACCAGTGCCTGTGCTATGCCCCAACGTGGCTGACACAGAGAACGGGCAGCAGCGCCGAGGAGAGATGGTGACCAGGGCCGCTGTGGGCACAGACCTTGCCCAAGCCACAGCAGTTGGGGCTCAGACCGAGCTGTCTGCAGGGCCTCGGTTCCCTCCCGGGGGCCCGCCTGGTCTGCAAGGCATTGCTCCCGGAGATACCTGCGGCTGGAGCTGTGGAGGAGGCCGGGGCTTACCTGGGCGCAATCCTGGGGATGGCGCGCTGGCGCGGAGAGGGAAGAGCGAGGACCCACAGCCCGTCCTCCCGAGCCCTGACCTGTTCCCAGCCAGAGCTCACCCGGGCTCCGAGAGGACGTCGGTGTGAGGGGAGACAGTCGCCTCCTGGCCTCACCGTCAGCCAGCCACTGTCCGTGGGTCTCCTTAGCACCACTGGGGAATGAGCGTCCCTTCCCCCTTACGGTGGGTGGCGTGAGGCCCACACCGCAACCTTGGCGTGTCCAGGCAGCGGGACCCAGGGAGAGGCTGTCCCTTGGGCTTTGCCCGCGTCTAGAAACCGCCCACTCTCGGGGCTCTCGGGGCTCATGGCCACCTCCTCCATCTCAGAGCCAGAGCCAGCTCCTTCCTGGGGGCTCCTCGCAGCCTCGTCCCCTCTGACCCCACCTCCTCTGGACCGTGCATGCCGGCATACTCAGGTCTCCAGACATGACCCAGGCACCTGCCACGTGGCGCTGCCCACCGGGACGTGTCACTTGAACCGCCATCTGCCTGCAGAATGTGAGCTTGTCTTGATACCAGAGCCCATCAGAAGGGTTCAGACAGGGACGTGGCCGCCAGCCTGGCCCTGCAGGACCTCCGGCTGTGCTGGTGCAGTCACTGGGCTGAAGTGTCATACCGTCACTTCCAGCACTTCCGACACTTTTCTTCTGCTGATATTTTCCGTGTTAGGTTTTGTTTTGCAATAGTTCTGCGTTTACGGAAGTGCCGTGGAGCGCACCGAGCGCTCGCTTCCTCTTACGCTGTCTCTTACAGAACCCGGTGCGCGTTCAGACCGGGACTCAGCGCTGGCCAAACAGTGAACTACAGGTTTTATTTCAACGACACCACTTTTCCCACCAGGGTCCCCTTTCTGTCCCAAGTCTCCGACTCCAACACCGCCGCACGCGGCTGTCGTGTGTCCTTCGTCTTCTCTCGTCTGTGCTGTTTCTCATTCTTTTTCTTTTCTGACGACCTTGACGGTGTGAAGCTTACCGGCCAGGTGTGTCGGCACCCCCGGGGGTGTGGCGGTGCTCTCTGCGATTTGAGGGCAGGCGTGTGTGCTTGGTGAGAGTGCACAGGGTCGAGTGTCCTCCTGACCACTTCTCAGCTGATGTGACACTGACGTACAGACGTTAGCCGTGGGAGCCGTGAAGGGTCTCAGTGGGACCTGCTGCCACCCAGCGCCGGGGACGGGGCCTTAGCAGCAAATGTTGACTCCCCGCCCCTGGAGGCAGAGCGGGGCCAGAGCGCTCAGGTTCAGTCGCCCTTCCCCTCGTCGCTGTGCGCCGAGTGGCCCTTGCACGTGTGGGACGGATGCTGTCTGATTGCATCGTGGGCCCTCGGTGTAGGGTTAGACGGTTAGCAGGAGTGGGGCAGCACAGAAGGGGGAGCAGTGTGTGTGGTGGGCAGAAAAGTCCTGATGCGTCTTACAGAGACGTGGAGAAATACGCCGTGGCTTATCCATGAAGCAGGTGGTGGAAGTGCAGCGTGGCCCTCTTCGTGCGTTTAAAAGATACACACCATGTCAGGGTCAGCAGGTGGTGCGGAGGGTACAGATCCCAGTGGCCACGGCGTGGTTTGAGCCCTGGACAAGTGTCACACGTATGCTCACACAGGGTCACATACGTGCATGGGATTGAAGGGTGCACAGGCCCCTGGGAATTAGGGCATCTGCATCGCTTGACATTTTTTGAACAACTGGTATACTGTTACTTTTTCAGTTAGGAAAAAAATAAAAAATAAAAATGTGAGACCCAGCAGTTGTGGTTGGTGCCGGAAGGACAGAGCTGCTTGGGGCCAGCAGGTGGCGTGGTGGAGGAGGTGCTGGGCTGCCCCGTGGCCGACTGCGGTCCAAGTGCTTGGCCTGGCAGCTTGAAAACCGTGCCGTGTGTGTGTGTGTGTGTGTGTGTGTGTGTGTGTGTGTCCCGAGGAAGTACGGTATGGCCATCCCCCCGGGAGTGGTTCCTCACTCTCTCTCTCACTGTCTCTCTCCAGTGAACACAGGGGCCTATTGCAGAAGACCTAAAAAAGACAACAGACAGTGCTGCTCTGAGCTGAGCCACATGGAAGGGTCCTGGGTCTGACTCCCGGGGCACCGAAAACCAGGCGTGTGCCCATCATCCTAGCTACATGGGAGCTGCGGCAGGGTCGTGACAGGGAAACCGTCTTTAAAAAGAGAAAGCAAACGTGCCTTGCACCCTGCCGTGCTGGGCGCACAGCAGCTGTCTCTGTCGCTGTGTGACCGAACGCTCAGACCTTGGCGATCTGAGACAAGTGTTTACCCCATGGTGTCTGCGAGAGCAGCCCACCACTGCTTCTGGCTCAGGGTCTCACGAGACTGGGCCAGCCCCTAGCCGAGCCATCGGCCTTCCAGGATTTGTGTCTGCTGCTCTCCTCGGCGCTCAGCCTGTCCAGGTTGGCAGGCTCCGGTTGCCCATGGGCTGTTGGCCAGAGAGTTGGACCTGTCCCTGCCGGGCTCCTCTGGGCTCCTCAGGCCCAGCAGCTCCCCCTCCCAGACCCATGGCAGGAGAGCCAGGCGCTGCCCACACGCAGGGAGGAGGGGCTCCACAGGGGTCCACAGGACAGCAGGCCAGGCCTGCCAGGATCATCCCCAGCCAGCCACCCTGCGGGTCTGTGGCAACGCGCTCACTGCTGATAGGCGTGCGGCAGGGAGGTGTGGGGTCGGTTTGAGT